GGGGGGTGGGTACCCACCGGGGCCCGTGAAACTCTTCCTCGACACGCCCATTTCAACAGGAAAAAAGAAATTAAGCCTTCAAAAAAACGAGGGGAAAACAAGTCACTCCTCAAATACATATCTACAGTTCCCAATGGAATTCAGTCACACGTGGAGTATCTCTGCCCCAGCATAAAACATACAAACCCTCAGTCAGAAGTGAGTGCTTTGTGTTTATTGCTACAGTGCTGAAGTAAAGGGGATTTTTTGCTTCTGATAATTACCAACAAGTCATTGATTCCATTGACATTTAAAGACTCCACAGTAGTTTAAAATATTTAAATTATTACTGTTCTACATAGCCAGAAGGTTTAGATGCATGAAGCCAAGCATACTTGGTGTTAATGCCACGGAAATGCATCTTCGCTTTACAGTTTGCTTAATTTTCTGCTACACAAGTGCAAATAAAGATACCATTTCTGTTTTTCCAAAGTATTTCAAATTAGGTGCTAATTTAACAAGTACAAGGTTTCCTACTTGAAATGTATAGATAGTTCAGACACAGATTTGAAGTAACACAGATCTATATATATTTCAACAACACAATAATCCCAACATTTTTAAAAATGCAGCTGAACATTAAATGTTTTCACAGAAGCAGAAAAATTAGATCCTCCTTACTACCCACTTATAAGGTTTCTTCTTCAGAAAGACAAAGCTCCTAAAATCTATTGTAAAGTGTAAATGTAAGCTGTAAATGTTCTAGACCATATTTCTAGGTCTTAAATGTTCCTAAAAAATACATAGTTATGGTGGGTTGATAGTCACAAAAAATTGATCTAGACTTGATTTAAATAGTGAATATATTTGGAAAGACTGGGCCAGCAGTTGCTTATGGAACAGATGTGGTCTACTATAAAGCATATGAAACTCAAACTGATTTTCAAGCACAGAGGTTCATGAAAGTCCTTTCAAATTCTCAAAACCCCGGACTAGCATCTCCAGTGTATTTAAGATCTCAGCCAATTTTTTGCACCAACCTTCACAGCTGCAAATTCTGGATTTCTGATAAGCTCTACCTATGAATAATCAGTGCCCAGCGTGCTATTAAATACACCCTGGACATCACAGATCTTCCATTCCAAAGTATCACATCCTACAGATACATTCCTTTCATTGGCAGGGCCAGCAGAAACAGCAGCCAGCACAGCTTTGTAGGGCTCTGCAGGACACTTGAAGCTACGGAGCCCCAAAAACTGCAAAGTTTGCTACTCTGCAACAGACACAATTCGCAGGACGCTGCTTCCCACCACCTGTGAAGTGCTCTTTGGAATCGGCCACACTTTACGCTACAAAGAAGTCTGTTGCATTCATAGCCACAGAATCCCTAGAGAATGCTTGGGCCTTTCAGTTATCGCTCCCTTGATGGGGAATGAAGGTGCTCAGGCCTAGTAAAGAAGAAACAAAACCTATCTTTGTGCAGGTCAATAAAGTGACCAAGCAATCAATAGGATAATTAATCTTAGAAAAAGCCAGACTAGACTATGAACTTTGGTGGTGTTTTAGAAGCCATGAAGCTATTTTGAATATTTAAATTGTAATTCAGAAATGTTTTTAAGTTTTGTGTGAAGTCAGTACCTGATGGCTTGCTATATTTTTTGCTAAATTAATTCAATCAGGAAGAAGGCAAATGGTATTTCTGTAAGGAAAGGTCTTCCCTCAGGTGCAATATCAAGGACAACAACAAAAATCCTGATTCTCTGAGCCGATAGCAATCTCTTAAACAGAATTAAGATTTTATGCAACAGCTCTGTATCTCTGCCTAGAAGCGTGCCAAACAGCACATTCTTTAGGGGCAAGAATGACTCCTTTGAAAGCTAAATTTGACCCCTCAATTTTATCATTGTGAACCTCCAGCTATTTGTGTCTTGATGCCTGCATTTTAATCATTCAAGTTTTAAACTTCATAGCACAGACTTAGAAGCACTGACTACTATAGCTTCTATGCTATGAAATCCGCAATGCTATAAAATTAGTAGCGTAGACTACTACAGTCTGCAGTGAATTATTCCATTATTGCCCCATAAGCCACCTTCTGCAGCATTTGATCCCAGCCCTGATCCACAGACCACACTTTTGCTCCAGTCTAGCAATTTCTCTACCGCCCCACCAGCTTCTCCAAGGCAACTCTGGGCCTTCGTTTTTTTATACAAGGGGGTTGGAAGAATATGTCCTGTAAGGGATTTTACACAGAGAAACGATAAAAGCTATTATCCTTATGGGCCATTCATACTCTTCCATTTGTAAAGGAGAGAGCTCTGCATACAACACATTACACGCCTAGAAAGAAATCAGTATGGAAGAGAGTTAAGAGTTGCACCACACTGGTGCCAGGGGTGTTAAACTTCCAGCTGCTTGCCCATCTTGCTGAGGGCATCGCTGACAATGTCCAGCTCGTGACGCAGCTCATTCACCACGCTGGCAATGCTCTTCGTGTCTTTCAGGATCTGCACGCTTTGAGTATATGGATTGTACTTCACGCCAAACGGGCGCTTGATGGTTTTTGCAAACTCTCTAGTCAAGTAAAAAAAGAGAGGGAGCTATAAGCAAAATGTAAATGTATCCTCTGTCAGTATCAACAACCACTTTTCTAAACTACTTACTTTCTTAAAAATAGGGATAATTGTTATATAGTTCATTATCTTTCCCACCCACTACACAGAAGACCAAGCAAATACTAATCTCAGCTTTCCAACCCAATGAAAGACAATTATAGAACTATCAGAAGAATACAAGGGTTTGGTGCTGCTACTGAGAGATGCATGAAATCAAACCTGCTTTTGTGAATCAAGGGAAAACAAACAAACAAACAAACAAAAAAAACCAAGCCACCCCTGTACCTCATCTTTTCCTTTGCTTCTTCAAAACTTTCTGAAACAAAGTAAACCTCCTGGAAAGTTGTGATGAGGCATTCTTGCTTGCAGGTGACCTTTGGATCAAAAGGCTTGACTTTGGCACTGCCAGAGAGCGAGTGCTGGTAACGTAATGTGTCGTCGTGTGTCAGAGGAACATCACCACCCAAATAATCCACAAGGAAGATGACATGAGGTAGAGTGAATAAAAAAAGATGAAGTAAGACCATATTTAGTGCATTGCTGCTTTAAATTTTTGTCTGCAGATGAACAGTGGTTAAAGCTTAAGAAACAGAATAGCTCTGAACAGTCATATTCTGCCAATCTGGGTCAAAAAAGGGATTCCTCAGACACGAGGCTCATGTGTAAACAAGAACAGTCTTTTCAGAATCTGGTTAAACCATCAGAGCTTTATTCTGAAAATAGTTACTTGGAACCTAACGTTAAGAAATACCAGTCATATAATGCTTCCTGCAAAAGGCGTGGGAGCTGCTCAGCAGATATTCAAAAGCAGACTGTCCAGCGATTATTGCCACAGTGAATTTGCTTAAAGCCTAGTAGGCATCTAGGAGTTTTCAAAAGGAGGATATTTAGAATTATAAAAAATTATAAAAAAACAGAGCAAAACAGTGACAATAATAATCAGGTACAAACAAGGAAGAGGTAAATAAGCAGTAGATACTCTTACCTGGAGTTCACTAATTGAAGAGAGCAAGCCAGCCCCATAAACTCGTAGCTGTCCCTCTTGCTTGCACAAGCCAAACTCTACAGTGAAAAAGTAGCACTGAAACAGAGAAGGGAGTGAAATAATTCAGCCTTCAAAGATGCTGTAGTGAAGAAGATGGGGCATTTCTATTTGTAGGTAGTGTCAAACAGTTGTAAATATCAAGCAGTCATCACTTGGTTATCCTTCAGATATTTAAAGAGGAGGAAAGCCGGAATGGAGGGGTGAAGAACCACAGAACTGCTTGCTTCTCATAAGAAAGACTGATATTATAGATCACCCAAAGAGGGCTAGAAACTATTGATATCAATAGAAACATGGAGATGTAAATCTATTTTGAGAAATACTGTCATGAGAAGACAGCTTCAGCTTAAAAGAAACACTGGGTAGAAAGGATCTCTGCGAGTGAGGGGAAACATCATCCCACTACAGTTTGTTCCTCAATTGCTTAGTGGCCTGTAAAATTAAAGATGTTTAGTTTGCTGAATTTCAGGATTTCTGCAGGTATATGGGGAGGAACACTATCTACAAAGATGGCTTAGTTCTGCTCCCACTGAAGGTAGCAGAAATTTTATCACTAGCTACACCAGGTTGGGGGAAAGATAAAAATAATATCAGCAAACCAGTTCTTTCATAACTAGCATCAACTATTTTTCATCTAAATTTAATTTTCATCTTAAAATATTTTTGCCAAACATCCAGAAACTGATATCCAGGAAATAAGATCTATTTATATTATTTTAATTTCTTGGCTGAAAAGTATCTAATGCTAGTACTCACCACATTCAGTGATAACACC